CTTAAAAACAGTCACTGCCATTAGAGTGTGAAATCTATAGGATTGCTCTGTGTGTGTACAGTATGTACTGTAGTTTTTTTATTTGTGGAATAATCAGTTGTGATTGAGGAGGCTCTTTTCTGCTTGTGGTGTCTTTTTACCTGTGGTCTGCATTTGTGAGGAATTAGAAGCAACAAAAACACAAAAGCCAAGGATTATGAAATATTTTTGTTCACATATATTTTTTGTAACATAACCATTTGAAGTACAATAAGAAATAAGGCTACAGTTTATAAAACTTTCCAGCAGATATCAATGATGGCCCAGCATCAGCCTTTTAACACAACTTGTTTGCAGACAGGTCATTTTTTTATTTATTTTCTGTATAAAAAAGTAAATCGCTACATTTTTTTTCTGTAATACCTTTTTTTTCCTCCATTAAAGCACCAGCTGTCTGCTTATTTCGAAGTTTATAAAATATAAATTATTTGAAAAATACTCAAATGCTCGTGAAACTTACATAAAAATGATCTCATTAACAAAAAATACAGAGACAATATTAAAAAAATACAATAATAACAACGAAACGTGTTCCTTGCGGAATACTCCTTGGTATGCATATATCAGACAAAACATGGTCCATTGAGAATGATACATGCTATACAATGGTTCATCTATATTATACCACACTCCAAACCTTTGCAAGAAAATTCCACTTCCACTTAAAAAGATTGCTTTAAAAGGCATATTTTAAAGGAATCAAATCCAGAGGAGTTTACACAAAAGGCAGGGAAGAACATAATACTGTGCCTCACTGATGCAATCCTGAATCTGATATATTGCCCTTCAAAAATTGACACGCCTGTCAGAAAAATTCCTAGGGCGCACAATTCCACATTACAATGTAAAATTGGGGATTCCATGTGGTATACATGACATTACGTGTAAAGAGCCTGGCAAGAAACATTCTTTGGAATAGCAGAACCTAAAGAAGAATTGCTGTATGTCTATCCCAACCCTTGCTCCTGCCAGCTTCCAGACAACTGAAGAGAAGGGGGTGCAGTGCTGGGATTTTGGTTGTGTTTGTTGTTCTTTTTTCTGCCCGCGACTCAAGAAAATGATACCATGGTTAAAAAAGGCGACGCAGATGTCGCGGCAATCCGATTGTGGCATCAGGAAAGGATAGCTGCCCTCCTTCCAGTGAAAGAGAAGAGGTGACTGATTGCAAAACCGAACCCCATTCTTCATACAGAGGCCAGCTGATTCTGCACACGTGGAATGGTGCTCTTGTCAACTCCTCAACAAGTGAGGTTCAGCCCATAAATAATAAACTGGGCGAAAAACCTGTCCTGTTGTATGTCAGACCCAAACAATAATATTTAATGCCAAAGACTTGTCTCCTTCAAAGACCCTATGCAGAACCTATCATGTGTGCTTTATCTATCATTTTATATACATTTTCATTGCAGATTTAAGAATAATATTTCAAACACATTCCTTAATCTCTAGAAACAAATTTCTATGTAACACTCACACAAAGACGACAAGTTACCGTTTATTCACCATAACAGTTTCTATTCTTAGTTAATGAAATATTGTGATCTTCCTGCAAGGTCTGTCCTGCTTTTGAAGAAATACCGGTTTTTGTTTTCTGACATTCTGTTTGAAGCGCGAAACTGCACTTGAAACTGTCTGGTAACAGCATGAGTGCTTCCTTGGAGTTTTATCATAAAACAGCCAGCCAAGGTTTTTTTTTGAAAATGTCATTGAGTCCTTTTTGACATATTTAATTTAGTGTGCTGTATGTTATTTAATTGAAAAGGGTTTTCATCATTTTTAGGGTTAAGTTCTGTGGAATAGTCCTCAGTTTGGAATTTGAGCAAATGCTTCTTATTCTGTTCCAGATTTTCCTTGGCAATTGTTACTCTTTAAATTGCATTATAACGGCTTTTAAAAGCTCTTTCTAGCATCAGAAACACTTCTGTTATTAGTTTTTTTTTCTACCACCCAGGTGTGTCCTTTCTCAAGAAGCCTCCAGTTTGTCTTTTTATAGTTATTTACATTCAAGCTCAGTCTTTCCTAAGTCTAACATCTGCGCCACCAAAAAAAACAATCTGGTTCACTATTAGGCTCTGTATTTAAACATCAGCGCACAATAGATCACACCTCCATTTTCAAGGTTAGCATCTGCAGTTCTAGCACAGATGCTAAAATGCAGTACATTCAACCTACATTCTGAAGCCCTCTCGTGTAACAATTGCCCGACTGAATGGCTCCCAATTCAACAAAGTTCCACTAAGAAAAGAAGCCTTTATTCTTCCAGTACCTTACTGGAATACCAGCAGTTGTTTTTCGGGGATACAATACCAAAAGTGAAAATAAAAAACAAGACTTTGTAACACTTAAAATGTCTTGTGCTGATTTAATCAACTAAAGTGAATAGAGTGAAACTTTGAAACCAAGCAAGGTCCCCATAGCAATGCTTTTAGGGAACCCCAACAGAACGCTAGTGACCACATGCATATCAAGACTGGCTCTCAGGTTTGGGTGGTGTGTAGGTGAGTTTTCTTTTTTTTTGCTTGCTGAACTGGCAGTGAGGTTGCAAAGACGACTGCATCAGTTAAAAAAGCAACTGTCACTTTCAGTTGTGCATATCAGTCACTCTTGGTATGAGGTGGAATATTTCATTGGAGTGTTTTTTTTTTTCAATTTAATACTGTCACCAAAGTGGAAAATGATGAAGCACTATGTCTCCAGTGTTGTCTACAAACCAATATTCTTAAAATGTCTAGTCTAATGTCCAATTCTCTTCAGATTTAAGACGCATACCTAGCATTCACAAATTTGATGGGATCTTACCTTCATCAACATTAAAACTGTCAAACCCAATACTTAGCCACAAACGTACAACATGGAATTCGTTAAGACGATAATACTGGCACAAACTTCTATTTAAAACAAAAAATGAAAAAACATTTTTGGTCCCAACTGAGAACTGCCCATTTGTTCTCTGCACAGAAGGGCAGTAAGACAGCAATAACAAAGAAAATAAGATATATATTCTATATAGTTCCTTTTATTTGGCAAATTTTTGTAGCAGTAACTTCCCATCCTTGTTCAATCCATCCCAGCATCCTCTGCGCTCTTCCGGCTTCCCTCCATGTCAGTTTCTTGTGCTACTAAAGCGAAAATGCTCAGCTTTCTGTTTTTTTAACTGCTAGCAATCTATCTGCCTTGAGCTGCACCGTACATATTTGTATATGAAAGTACAAACTTCAGGAGTTCAGTCTTTTGCTGCTAGAGAATATGAAGAGGTGCACAGGTTTCGAGGCTCTCTTTGTAAATTTCCTCTTTGAACAGCTCACGTGGCAAATGATAAACAGCTCCGCACTTACAAAAAAAAATCCTGCATATCCCACTTCACCCACCAATACTCAGTTAATCCTTCAATTCACAGTCCTCCGGTTATCTCTCCTTCACTTCACTCGTCGGCATCAGGCTTTACATCCAACATGGCATGCAGCTCCTCTGGAGTGTAACCTAGAAGGCTTTTCAAGTCACATACAAAGCGGTACACATATCGCTTCCCTGATGTCTTGTGGATGATGTTTTTGTCGTAGTAGTAGCGCAGCCCTCGACTCAGCTTCTCGTAGTTCATCTTGGGCTTGTTTTTCCGTTTTCCCCATCGCCTGGCGACCTGTGGGAATTTTCAGAAAGGCTGCAGTCAAGACACCATCAGGGGTTGGCAGTGGATGTGACTCGGTGACCCCGAACGACAACAGGAAGGCCCAGTCAAACCGAAATTAAACCCAGCCTTCGCTGTTCCCCACACTTTGATTCACCATCGGCGCTCTGCGGACAAGCTCTGGAAAGCAGCAGTATTTTGTAAAGGCCGTGCAGGGATTTAATTTTTCATCCTGAAAAGCTTTAGTCATGATAGTATATAAACACTGGTGGGAATTCACATTGTGTCCAGTTTTGTAAACCCGACACAACTGGCTTTACAACGATGACTGAAGGATAAAAGTCAAATGAAGTGGGGGTATTTGCGAAACTACAGCATTAGACTGTGGACGGGTGTAATGGGATAGTCGATGTATTGTTCTTACCTCGTCTGGGTCGGATAGTTTAAACTCCCAGCCATCACCAGTCCAGCTGATGAAAGACTGGCATGACTTGTCTGTCAGAAGCTCCAAGAGAAACTGCCACAGCTGAATGGGTCCACTTCCTATTAAGAGAACAGGGTGAAAGTTTTAGAAAAACAGTTGCACTAAGTGAAGAACCACGAACGTCAGCTCACCTACTGTAGAACTTACTTCTCACCCATACAACTGATTTTAAAAGTTGACTGCAAGTAAACACATGGCAGTAAAATAAAATAAAATCTTTAGAATACTTCATTTAAATAAGAATATTAAGAAAGAAGACCTTGAGGTTTTCCCTCTCAATACACTCAGTCACAGTTACAGAAAATAAAAGCACAGAATGTTTAAGACATGGGCTACAGAAAGGTTCAAAAGTACTAAAAGTACATTTCCCTTAGCTAACATTTTCTGCATGTGCTAAGCTTAACCACCACTGGCGATCTGCAATTTCTCTCGTTTAGAATCACCAATTCAAACATGTGAAAGAGATTTAGTGAAGAGCAGCTGAAAACGATTGGGAGCCAGCACTCATTCAGGATTCTCCACGCCCAGTGTTCTGCAGCACCCGTAACGCGATCAGCAGTGCTGGACGGGCATCCACAACTTCGTGTCCCCTGGCTGCAGAGCTTTTTCGGACTCTCACATTATCACTTCATTTCGAACCGAAAGAAATGCATACTAAAGCGTTTTCTATCCTTTTTTTAGAGCTGCTGTAGCAGCGCTAAATCACTGTTTACAAAGGCACGCTGAACTGTGGTGACCTCATGGCTGCAACCCACACAGTCACAGCTAACGGTATACGATTGCCCCTCACTTTAACCAAAACTTCTTTAGCAACGTTGCCAAAAACTATCTGGGGCTTAGAACAGAGATTAGGCACTTCAAATAAAGACTAATTGAAGACAAAGCTTTTTTCGTAACCACTTTCTAGTTAGCCTTTAAGTCCCCAATATGCTCTTCACTGGCTGTGCACTACTTTTCAGTACTACAGTTGATTTTGTGGTTTGATTACAGCCTCCCCAGTGCTCTCATCTGCCTGCAGTGAACTCAGAGCTAAATCTGCCTCTCCATGCCATCTCTGGTTATACAGTACACGACTTCCCAAAACACCCTCAAGACTGCCCACCCCACCCCACACAAAGGGGAATTGAATTCTTCAGTTCGCAATGACTTCCAACAAGATTGCAAAGCACTTCAACAGGTCAACACTTCCCATATGGGCGCGTGAGGCATGTGTGCTCATAAGAAAACAACACCTATGTGCTTCATTTTCCACTAGAAAGATTTGAAACGTTATGGCAGCTAAAGCTCTGGACTTGGTTGTGTAGTTCTTCGTGCTTTCCTTGTGAAGACATTAAACACGTGATCTCTTTGTCGATCTGGGGCTATTTGATGTTCAAATAAATGGATTTGTGCATAATGTCTGGGGTTTTTTTTTCAACCTGACCTGCAGATCTGAATTTGGGGGAACCTTTTAAAAAACGCACAGCTTGAGTCAGTTCACTGAGTTTCGGTCTGCCTGCGCGCTGGCGTCAACTCCACTCTGCTGATGGGCAGTGTCATTCGGAGTTCGTTAACCGTGTCTCAACAGACGGGTTGTGAAAGTGTGTCGTTTGGGGGCAGTTACCGGCGCCTTCAGAACAATGCAAAAACAAGAAAACCTCAAGGGCTCAGGCAGTTATGCATTTATCTCTCACCTTTCGAGCAGTCAGCTTATCAAGCGTTCTATCTCTAAAGATCTCTCGATGCCTGAGTTTGCGGTGCGCTGACAGGAAATGGATGCTCGTGTTTTCATAAACTGCTCTTCTGATTATGATATACTTTTTAATATCTCGTCTTAGCTGCTGCCTTGTTACAGAACTGTTCACGGCGCTTTTTAGAGTTTAAGGATCTGATCTCAAGAGTTCTTTTTCTCGTTCGTGCATTTAGAACAGATTGAAAAATACTGAGCTGATGCCATAGAGGCTTTACAGATCGATGACTAATAGGGGAATAATGAGAACGAGAATTAGGTAAGTTTCTTGTAAAGTGCACTTGGCCCAATATAATGAACTGCATTCGAAATGAGGCTTAAACCCTGGAGCGCTCAGTGTCAGTGTGTCCGGACATCTTCATTGTGACCAACTATGATTTTAGCTTCAGGGCGTAAAGGAACACTTTTAATCTTGTGAAACTAATTTGGGAGGACTTTTTTCTATTCCTCTGTTTTCCCTATATGTTAATATTATATATAAATGCTATATTATAAATATTATATAAAATAAAATCTATAATATTATATATAAATGCACACACATTGTAGATCACATGGTATGACACGGTAATGCAATTTGATGGTCTCTAATTGCGAATTACAGCTTTACCATTGATTTCTGGAGTAGTCCTGTGCATGTTGGGAGGACACTTCAAATGCATGCATTGAAACAGGCTCTCAAAATGTCATAATTACATTTGCTCCAGCTTTGATTGCATTACTGTTTCCTGGGAAACAGCACCAATCAGCAAAGGACACACGGACAGAGTATTTGTTAGCTCATCAAAAAATCTTACACGCATCTTAACTTGCGTCATGATAAGGCACTATCAGTATACTATGTTCAATTTTATATTGCTTTTCAAGGACAAGCACACCTTTGACAGCATTGTTTGTTATCCTTAGGTGTCCTCTGGTCCTTGTACATTTCTTTACTCATTTATTTTGTTGTATTTTACTTTTCTGGAAAGAAATGACCATGGAAGGGACAGAGTGGAGTATATTTTTGCATTGGGGAAGTACAGGGTAGACAGAGGTATACCCCATTGCTTCCTTGCCATTTTTATTGTATCTTGTACCTTAAGTTGGTTCTTTACCAATTTTACCACAGAACACAAACTATCCCTTATACAGTGTTCCGCGTTTTGTGTGGTAATTTTCTGTCATGTAATGTCCCTTTAGACTTGCCTCTGGCCGATTCTCTTTGGCATTTAGAAAACACTAAAACCCTGATAAGTACAGAACAAGGCAAACTGCTTTGCACTGAACTTCACAGAGTGTTTCGTTCTCTCAGTCCCTGTCAATCTCGTCAGCAGACAGATACATACAGTACAACAGCATTCCATACAGTGGAGATGTATGAAGTGTACAGTAATCTCAACTATGACATATATAATATATATATATATTAAATTACAACTAATGGTATAATTATATTATATAACATAATAAATTATGGATAATAGTTATAAAAAACTATATTCAAGGCAATATGTACGTTTCGCAAAAATGGGGACAGATTAAGACATTTAATGTTAATTGGTCTTAAATAAAGGGAGGTTTATATTACGTTACAATGAAAAAAATGAGTAACTGGTTGTGAGGTGCTGCAGATCACAACTACCTCTAATCCACCCATAAATCACAGGAAGCATGTTAACCTCCCCCTTATCACCTCCCTCGATCCATATGACCGCGTTTTACATCCTGAGAAGTGCCCCCGGTGGTATAGGATGACATTATCCTGTGATAGTACTCTCTGGTGAATCTGTCTGGTGTCTGTGCAGTTTCCCTGTCAAAGACTTTCCCTGCTGGAAGTCATGGGCTTTATGCAGTGGGAGACTGCCCATAAGTGTTTTTCCTGCTTAGAGACAGTTTCTCTCACCACATCACATTATCGCCTGTCATCACAGCCTCTGAAACCAATACGCACTCCTCCAAATATTTCTGCTTTTTCGCTACAAATTTTGTGTAAAGATCGGGTTAAAGGACTTTTTTCAGTGTGTCCAACATCAATGCCTTTCATGTTCGCTAGTCTTCCAGTTGATTCTATGTAATGAGTTTCTGGTTAGGAATCCTAATGGAATTTTTTCGGTATGGACAAAAAGTTGCAAATTTAATTTATGACAGTTCTCAAGGTGCACAGAGCTGAAGAGTGTGTATTACCTTGTTGTGTACCTAATGTCTAAAAGTGATACTCATAGCGGTATGGGCAGGTTTTTACAAACAAAATGCTTTTTCATAGTAAAATCACATTTTCTTTTACTATACAGCAGTATTCCTTTGGACACAATTGTTTTTTTATGAAGTGTAAAAAACAGCGCATTATAAAAAACAATGTTGATTTTACATTCTGTGGTTTTGTTGTGCTTTTTAATTTAGTACTCTCTTGGAATTATGCCATCTTAATCGGGGGGGGGGGGGACAAATTTATATTGTCTGTTCCAAGTTTTCACAGGCATGTCATTGCCTTTGCCAAAAAGCATCTGTATTATTGTACTAAACAGTACTGAAGGTCTCAGCATTCAGAGAGGTAAAGGAACTTTAAAAAAGACAGGAGAATAAATAAAAGGCTCTTTAAGTTGAAGGGTTGTTTAAAAAAACATGAAAAACAAAGTGCTATGTAGGGTGACAGAGGTCCTTTGAGATAAATCGATAATTCCACTCGGTTTCTGAAAGTACGGGCAGGTATCACTTTGCACTGTTCCCGGGTTGCCAAGACAACTAAAAAATAGGTCAAGATGTGGGGTAGATAAACCTGCAGATGATAACTCTTCAGGCTTGGGTTAAATGAGAAAAAAAAGGCCAAAAGTTAGTACAAGTTTCCTGTGATATGCCTTCTTTCACCTCAGTGGATTCATCTTTTCTTTTGAGAAAAGTACCGATAAGCAGATGCAAGATCCTTCTGAGCATGAAAGTACTTTTACAGTTGCACAAAGGAATGCCTACTGCATTCCAGCCAAAGCCAGCCACCAATTACTGAATAGTGTCCCCTGTGCTGAGGACTGCTTCAGCCAAGAAGAGCCCGACCAAAGTCCAAGAGTTTTTATTCTGGTGCAGTATGATGTTTTTCAGAAGCTGTGGTGCCCAAATTTGAGCAAAGTTCAAAGTTGAGAGTAGTGCCGTGAACTACAATGCCATGATTGACAGGGTATCTTCACGCTAGTCTTTTGCAGTTTACCTACAATGCCAGGTTTTGTCTAAGATGATTTTACCCCGGATAAATAAAGTTTAGATTATGGGCTGTCGGAAATGGATTGCTACCCGTTAGCTCTGTGCACCATCGACGTCATGACCCCTGGTGACGCAGAGCGAGAACAGGCAAGCTGGTATGTCATTAGCGTGGGGGAGAAGCCAAACACTGCCATGTAAATGTTCGGTTTTGCGTATCTAGTGGAGGGACAGGCCCCTGGGCCCGGACAGGAGCAGGTGGTACAGTACCTGTATAGCCAGCCAGCGCCGCAGCCGGGATGACCGGCTTGTCCTTGTTGAGGTCGGCCCGCTCCCGCACGTAGTCCTTGAAGGTCCCCTTGGGCTTGTGGCCGTGCAGGGCGCTGGGGTAGTCCTCCGAGTCGAAGCTGTCGTAGGAGGGCACGCGCTGCAGGCTGTTGAAGGAGGACTGGCTGCTCCAGGACTGCGTGAGCCGGTCGCAGCTCTCGAAGCTCTCGATGCTCTCGAAGGAGTCCTGGCCACCCAGCTTTCCTGTGGGCAGGGAGGGTCCGTCAGCTCAACTGAGTTCACTCTATAAATTGGCTTCATTACTCTGCTCTCCTCCCCACTGATCGCTGGTGTGTGGGGAGCGTTCTGGCGCACTATGGCTGCCGTCGCATCATCCAGGTGGGGGCTGCACAGTGGTGGTGGTGGAGGGGATCCCCATTGCCTGTAAAGCGCTTTGAGTGGAGTGTCCAGAAAAGCGCTATATAAATGCAAGCAATTATTATTATTATTACCTGCTCGCAATTCAGCCTGGCTGACGGGGTCTTGGATGGGAGACGGGCAGAGCGGGCTAAAACCAAGCCACGCAACAGAGAAGGATCTTGAGAGGAATCTAGCTAGTGAGTGTGTCTCTCCCTGCCCCCTGTTCCCTGAAACAAGTACCCACTACCCAGCATCCGCATCTCAACCTGGTCTTGTTTTGATGTCGCAACGAACGCTCCAGGTTCTGGGTCAGCAGCGTGGTGAATGACGGGCTGGAGGTGACGCCCGGGCTCCCTGACAGTTGTGTTGACAGTTTATTGCCACGTCATTACAGTGGGGTGCTAATCATGGAGCAGGGACGTTTGTGATTACTGTTGCTTGTTACAATGTTATTTTAATTAACTTAAAGCCAAAACATGAGTATTTTTATTATTATATAAGTGAGGGTTACATACAGTATGTCTTTTGACCCTACATACTATATACCGTAATACATCATGTGACGCTACAGGGGTGGTTATGTGCTAATTTGGTTATTTGTGATGGTTCTTGTTGCCGAACGCTTTTGAATGTCAAGCCCCTGCTGTACTACAGAAATGAGGGAGGGGACACTCAGAAGTTGCTTTTCACCTCATCCACTTAAGTTACGGTGGCAACTTAGAATCTGCAGAAACTGAATGACTTCAGTGAGCATAGTGGGCAGCGCTCCTGCGATGCTTGGGGTGACAATGTATTTTTTTCAATGGTTCAATGGATTTAATATAGCGAATCCCAGCCCAGAAGCAGTGCTGTATCTAGCATTGATTGGACCGCATGTTTTAATTCTGTGCCTCTGTGATGACTTCAATGGAGACGATTCTTTTTGCAGGGTGTGGGAGTTGTGTGGCCCAGTAACACTTCGTCTTACAGCCCCACCCGATTCACACTTTACAGACTCTTACAGTGCCCCTTCTTCAAACTCCCACTTCATCTCACACATGGAAAGTTGGGGGTTTTTATTCTGAAAATCAAGTGCAAACTACTTTTAGACGCCATGTCCTTCATATGTGTGTACTTAGCTGAAAGCTTCTTTCTTTTTTCAGAATGAAAGATATGCCAAAAGGCTGCTGAGTCAGAGATCTTCGATTACAAAATCGAAGCCACATGGAGGTTGTACATTGGTACCACAAATATTTTCCCACTGTTGAGGAAATGCGCTGAACTGCCAAAACTGGGATATGTAAGTCAAAGTCAGTCAGAGCGAAGTCTGAGTGTATCTTGTGGAATGACCTAACTATGTGTTGTTTCAAAGAACTGGTCTCTTGGGTCATTTGTACATAAAATTCTTCCTCTCAAAAAAAAGCAAGCAAGTAAAAACTCTGACATACAGGGAGCAAACCGAGTACAGGAGTTTATCGGAACCCAGTCTCCTTGGTTTTTCTGCTGCCTGTCTCATTCGCCCTGAACTTCAAAGCCACACAGGAGGCACAGGCAGAAAAAGGCGCTTATTCAGGTTATCTCATTCTTGTTGTTTTACATAAAAGACACAGGCACTCGGGGCGCAGAGAGCTGTGTGGCTTCACTGCAAGGTTTACAGTGAAAAAAATAACAATTCAGTCTAGTTCTCAGCTGTGCAGAGTCAAACGGTTAAGGCGTGTTTGTTTTGAACCACAACCTAACCATTGAGCTTCTTCTGGACTTGGTAAACTACAGATGTGGCATTGCAGCACAAGAAAATGCAGGCAAGGTAACGGAGAGCATTCATTAGAAACCTACAGCACACGGAGCTCACCACAGCAATGACTTAAAATTATGATGAGCGGTGATAAAGCTATTTACTTTTTTTTTCAGCTTATTCAAACAGGACTCTGAAGCTGAAAAGCAGTGCAATACCTATCTGTCCAGGGCTGGGCTATGATGTTTACATGTGTCCTTTATGTTTACACACTACACAGCTAAGCTTCAAGCAGTTGTTCTCTTGTATGGTCAGAACATATTGCTCCTGTCATAAGAATAAGTGTATCAAATTCATGAAGAATAATCTTTAAATATTTGTAGAATGTGAGGGACACGTGGCATAATCTATAGCTTAATTGAATAAGGAAAGTGAAAGTAAAATAGTGTACTCTTTAACTCTTCTAATGACTTTGCATTAAAAAATCTTCTCTATATATCAAATGTCTGGAAAAGGCAGATAGGCATTCAGACAGACGGAGATGTCCTGAAATGTGTATTCTTCCTCGAACAATTCTCTGTTATCGGCAGTTTGCCCCTCGTCCATGATCTTGTATGCTTCATGGAGCTCCCTAATATGGCACTTCTGGATAAGAGCCATGTTTTAGATGAGCTTAATGGACGTGCCCTGAATCAGTCAGAAGGTGCAGAAGGTGAATCTCCTGCTGGCCCTGTCTATGGGGGTACCTGGGTCGGGAGGGGGGCTCTTACCTCGGCTGATGCGCCCCACGCACATGTTGTCGGGGGAGATGACCTCCTGCTTGATGGAGAAGTAGTCCCCCTGTAGGGGGTTTAGAGGGGCATCGCGGAGGATCACGGAGGGGTAGTCACTCTCGTACTTCAGGGACAGCAGGTCCTCCGAGCTGATGGGGTGCAGCGTCTGGTACGACTCCGTAATGAAGCCTGGCTCGGAGTATTCTGATGGAGGAACGCATTGGGCATGCTCGATGCCATAGCCTGGCAAAGAAAGAAAATCAACAAGGGATTATCAGTGCCCAAGAATGGGAATTGGCAAACGGCATCTTGCTTTGCAAAATGCCTGAATGGTGAGGAGTTACGAAGAAAAACGAGTCTTTCAGAACAACATGAGATGAAACTAAGTGGAAAGAGCAAAAATAACTCTCAGAAGGAGCTGTATTTTACGGAGGAGGGAAAGGCACTTACTGACGAAGTAATCTGAGGTATAGCGGGATTCCTGGATGTTGGAGGTCAGTCCGTTGACAGGGAAATGCTTCACGTCTTCTTCATGAAAGATAGGTGTCACAGTTAGGAAAACATCTGTCACATCAAATCTCTACCCAGACTAAAAGCTGCTCTGTGAAAGTCCAAGACAGGGCAGTCACTCTACAGTGACTGAACATGTCTAAAATATATAAATCTATATACAGAACATCAGTCCTTACGCGGTGTTCTGCAGGGAGAATATTATTTTTCAACAATACTGATGTTGGTGTGCAGCTCAGGGCTAGACCCGAGCAATGCTGGTACATGCGCACAGAGACCAAAGCTGTACCTTTCTGCAGCATCTCAAGATGTTCCCAGAGGATGTCTCCTACAAAGTCGGGGGCGAGGTCCAAAAAGCGCTCTTTCCCCAGAGCGCAGAGACTGGCGCCGTTCATGCAGAACTTGTGAAAGTCCACGTTTTTCAGGCTGAACTCGTTCACGGTCCACGTCAGCCACTCAATGACATGGGTCTCTGTCCACTGCCTGGGATCTGGACGGGGAAGCACAGCAAGAAAGGTCAAGGCTCTAACCAGAAGAAGGGGGTTACCTTGATAATTGCTCTGTGCAGGAACATCTGTCCTTGGTCCTTTCCACTATTGCAGCACTCTCAGCAGTATTTCAAACAGAGCACCCCTCTCTTCTTAAGTACCTTGGAGAATCAAATTACATTGAGCAAAGCAACTGACAGTGGCAATAAAATCTTTTTCACTTTTCACACGCCTTGCATTTTACTCTGCTGACTGAAAGTTACAGGTATCTGTTCCAACACAATGTAAGATTATCGTGAGTTACTCGCAATGAGTAGAACAGCATTTCTATCAGTTGCGTAATGACTGCCAGTTGGTGGTGCAAGTGGGATATGATGGTTTTCTTGATTTGTGGTAATGCTACCCTGGTATTATTATAATTTTATTATATATTCTTTTCAGGGTCTTTTGGCCTTCATCAGGTTATAAAAAAAATGAGTCTTGTGAATTTCTGTATGATCATGAACTGTAATCCAGGTATAAAGCATTTCTTACATTCACATTTCTCACATGTCATGAAGATTATTGGTGGTAGAAACAACCGCTACCAATTTATTCTAACGTTTTTACCAATCTGTTGTAAAAACCGGAAAGTGAAACCTTTCTAATAAACTAAAGTGTTAAGCCTGAAGAGTTAGGTTCAACATCACTGAGTGTTGTGCAATCCACTGTGATTATAGTTTTTCTTTTTCTGAAGAGCCTGACATTTAAAATAACTTTGATTCACCAGGGACATAAAGCTTTCCATTTTACAAAAAAAAGTAACCAAAATAAAATATATAATTTCCATTGAACTCAACCATTTAGGATATTTGAACCAGCACCTCTTTTCATATCTAACCGTTTCAACTGGCATACAGATTCCATCAGATCCGTTGTGAATGATTTTGATATTCACAATATTTGAAGGCAGCATGTAAGCTGTCTAATTAAGTATGTGGTTATCGTGCAAAGACATTGTGCACTGAAATTCCCGTGTGTACAGAACTTTACCCCCGCATATTACTTGTGGTATTTTAGCCGCGCAGTAGATAAGCATATATTCTGTAGACGCTCAAAACAGACATTACTACACTCTTTGCCTGTCTTTTTCCAGACTGATATCAACTCCCCACAAATGAAATATTTCCTACACTGTCAGGACTGGTATAGAACTTCTGATGACCTTCCTCAATTAGTGAATCACTGTCTGCCATCCTCCTGCGCAAGATTGCCTTTCACTTTCAGACATTCCTACTTCTTAAAACAAGGAAATAACACGTTTCAAGTTTGAGACATTCATAAACTCCTTTTTGGAACAACACAATTCCTGTTGTGGCCAAGACTTTGCCATTTCCACAGAAGTCTCTCCTTAGCCTTTTACTTTATTCTGATGTAGGATACAGTTTTGGGGAATTGTAAGTCTTGGAGACATGGAACACATTCTGAGCCCAACAGAAAAATGGGGATCTTCCAGACTCTCTTTTCAGATCTACCTGAGGTCCATGGTTTCTCCATTATCCTGTGCCCCACTGTTAACCAAGCAGCCTGTGTCTGCTCAAGGCTACAGTCATTCTCCTGTGTGGGAGGAACTCATTAAATGCAACTAAACCTTTCAAGCTTGAAGCACAACCTATGCTGGGCATGGAACCAGATGGTTTTAACTCTGCATTGATCCTTTTTTTGATTGCAGACGTGCGCTTTCAAACGCAAGGTCGGTGCTCGGATGTTTTCAGGACACCACCACCGGCAGCGCCGGCTCAAGGTTTCTGCGCGTCTCTCTCTGCTCTGAACGGGAGAGGAGCGGGTTACCTTTCGGTATTCCGAGCCTCTGCTGCTCCTTCGTGAACCCGCTGAAGGTGGCTTTCAAGGCTTGTGACATCATCTCTTTACTTCCGGGGGTGAGCAAGGGAACATCACTGCACTCCAGATCTGTCAGGAAAGACCGAGACAGAGCCCTTGAGTGGTATAGTAATAATAATTGCTTACACTTATATAGCGCTCTTCTGGACGCTCCATTCAAAGAGCTTTACAGGTAATGGGGACTCCCCACCACCACCAGTGTGCAGCCCCACCTGGATGAATGGCCCAGACACATGTCCACACACACTCCTGTTTTCGGCAACTGTCTGCACAGCGTTTTTATACATCAAAGTATTCATCACCTCAAAAGTCAATAAATCCAAACTCCACTGCTTGTTTTATTTTTAACATGTTTGCCATTGACTTCAAAGATTCTCATGAGCATCTGTCCAAACTGTATTGTAATATTCACTTTTATTATTTATATTACCAAGAAGTTCTGGTTTTAATTCGTTCTTAAAAGCTTTATTTTATTTATTGAACACAAACATTATCAACACCAATTAATACCGCAAAAGAAAATGCACCAATCGCTTACTTAAGCACTTGTTTAATTCTACATTAAGCGGACAGCCTTCTGTTCACATGTTGGTCATGTTTCCATGTCACCATAAAATCCAGTGCAAATTCCAAAACCTTTTTAATTAAAAGGGTTCTCTTTATTTAAATCCCCACACCCACTCCGGAGTGGTGTCTCATGTCATTTTCACCTTTAAATTTGCATGCTAATTGCCTTTAGAGCAAAAGGTTTGGATTGTCACCTAGTAATTGAAAGGCATTAAAAGCAGGAGGTAATCTTTATACTGCACAGCATTAAGTAATATTACGCAAGAGCTTGAAATGCTGTTATACAATACAAGAACAGTTCAACATGTAAACTAAAAGTACAGGATGCAGTGCGGCAATGCTGTCTGCAGAGTACACTGTATGTTAATTAGATTTCCCTGTTGGATCACAGAGAGTCCGTCTGCAGGGCAGCCCTGCTTGTTTATTTGAGTTCGGCCTCACATGTAGCCATTGGGTACTGACTGGTCCGCTTCACTTTGTAATCGGCATCAAATCTCGCTGATCTCTCACCCCGGACACCCGACCCCAAAGCCACATTGTCCTGGATGTGGCCTATAAACACATCATGTGTGTGGGACAGGACCCCCCATAGCCCAACGCACAATAGGAGGGCCCACATGCTAATTAATGAAGTGCATCACCCCCCCACCCCCACCCCCTCGTTCTGTCGCCATCACCACACACCCCATATCCACACAGAGACAGAGGAGATACTGTAGCTGAACACAACAGGGGTCAGCAGAGCCAGAGCCAAAGGTCAAAGAGCAAGCTGGTGATGTCACACCAGGCGCTGTCTTTTCTGACACATGGGCTACTGTTCTCCACTCATGGCCATTGGGTACAGAGCCTGAGACAGAGCCCTCTTTGATGCCTTAAACAGCCCCTGATGACTTACGCAGATTTAATTAGCTTCACCAGCCCCCAGGGGGGAGACACGCAGCACAGGGTGCCTGAAAGCTCTGGCCCAGCCAAGGCAAGGAGATCTGATTTCACAAAGAAGACAAAGTGTCGTGAAACCTTTCGAGACTTGCGCGGTTCTTCGGTGCGCCGGACCGATTAAACCAAGCGCCGATGAACACTGACCCAAGCCCAGGGAAGCCGAGTAGAACACGTCGCACTGCCATTTTGAGCTACACCCAAAACAACTAAAACAAAGTTAAAGGAATGTGAAGTCTCAGGTTCAGGCAAGTGATAATGTCTGATAATCCAAGCAATCACAGTCTCATTAGTAGCACACAAGAGGGCTATTAAGAGCTTTTGAAAACACGAAGACTCCAGCGAACAACAGCCAAGGAAATATTAGCAGATTAGCAGGAAAAAAAACAGGATGAGAACTGCAGGATTGGAGACTGGAACTCTTGTTATCAAGTATCAGATGAGCAAATTTTGCAGACCACAATAAGCCCGTGCAAGACACCCCAGTGCCCTGTATGATCTGGGGGGGGAAAAAGCATTTTTCACCTCAGTGTGAGCTGTAATTCAAGGATATTTTTATTGCTTCATAAAAGCAAAACGGTCCCATATGAAGCGCACAACATCTGCCTGTACGTAATCTCCCTTCCCCTAATATCACTCCTATTGTCATCAAACTCTCCAATGATGGGTATTCAATTTGCTGACTCAATTGTTTGAAGATGATAAGCTACATTATGCAGAGCACTGAAATGGATGTTCAGCACAATGTTCTGTTGCTTAACTTGATTAGTCAAAGATTTTGTTTACTTTCCATTTAAGGGTCATACCCTACACAGTGCTCACTTGATGAGTTTCATGTGGAGCATTTCTGTCGTCTGAGAAGTAGTTTTCATGTCGGCACTACATGAAGGCACGTTCCGGATACTCTGATTAAACTGTACACTCTTGTTGCTTTTTGTGAGATTTTAACACGTTTGGTCAACAGGGGAAAGCTTGAAATAAACCTGCGCCAATGAATGTTTAAATTGTTCTCGGGGGTAGAGAGAGCTTGTTTGCATGTTTCCATTACAAATGACTTTATGTGTAACATTAAATGATATCGTTTGTGTATCTTCTGTCTCACCATGCCATTTTTTGCTGTCACGTACAGTAGATGAGCCCACGGACGCAGCAAATTTGTCTTCCCTTAGACAACCGGCTTTTAAAGAAACAATGGCAAGAGTGTGTGACCTGTGTCCTGAATGTTTTTCCTCACTGTATCGGAGCCTGTATTTGGGAACAGGGGGTTGAGGATGACTTCTGTCAGGAACCGAAGTTGGCAGCAGCTCAGGACAGTGTATTTGAAGTGGATGAGAGTTCATCTGCACTTTCGAACCCTTTTCGAACCCTTAAAGACCTTCTCATAGCCTTACGCTCTCCCACGCAAACTAGAAACCGTTTAACATGGAGGACTTCTCAAAAAGCACCTCTTTCTTCTGGTATTGTGGGTAGCAGGATTGACGCTGGTGGCAGGTGTGTAGACAGTCCCTGTTTTCTGAAAAAATAATCTAAAAAGGCTCTTTTTTGTGATAGTCTCTGTAGCTCTTTGCTGCTTTTTTTTATCCAGCAGAGCTATTTTTTTTAACAGAATGTCTCTTCTGCCTCTAGGGCAGGGGTAGATCATTCATTTTTTTTAACCTCATTCATCTTGGATAGCAAGCGTTTCACCCAGTGCTGCCTACAGTCGGTGGTTGTGGTCTCTAAATGACAGCGGTATAAAGTATGCAGTGCTAAGCTCCCCAGTATATAAAGGTCACTGAGGCCTAGCTCAATTGTTTTACACATTTGTGAAAAAAAAAACTGTTTTTCACATCAACAGCCCAAATGTCAGTGACTTTGTAGCTTTGCATTAAAGTTACGACCAGACATGAATGTTACAACTGCTTCATAAAGTACAAATGATTGACTTTCCACTAAAACGTGAACTGCAGCCAAATACAGGGGAGCCTGAGACACTTTAATTCAGAGAAAATAGAAGCAACAGTCGCTGTCTGAAGCACAATTTTTTAGAGCATATTTGAAAATGTGATGGAAAGAATCTGCACCAGAAAGAGGGGGGGGGGTCTTTTAACTGTTTTGCATTCACTCTTGAAAGGGTTACTCTTTTGGATAGAATTTCACAACTCACTCACCAGTGATTTAAAGCCCAGCCCTTAAGCTTTACAGTCTCGAGTGCTGTATCTGGTAGTGTGATTCCAGCCACCAGTCCTAACTGAAAGGACTCATCCATCTTTGTGAGTGACACAGAAGAGATAGTGACTACTTCTGTCACAGCAGTGTAGTTTCCAAGATTCTGATTGTCCCTGCAAAGGGATATTGGCACATGGGGATATTAGAGCTTATAGGGATATTTGCCCATGCACTTTAGATGGTTTTCCGATATAGAGCAGTGATCAGATTATCTTAGAAGCTTAACTTCCTCTTCCTTAATTTGTTTAGGAGCATCTTTTTGCTCATAGGTCAAGGGAAGAATAAAAGAACCCTGAGCTAACAGGGTCAAAGAGGCATGCACTGCTCACAAAGTACATTTTCAATCATTGTAAGCAAAAAAATGGAAAAGAAAACCAGAAATCGCTACATTCTTAGTTTCTATCTTGAAGGCCCTGGTGTATAGCGTGAAAGTGGAATCATCAGCATGAGATAATATGTAGTAAAGTGTATGTTTCAGGCCTTTATCTGTAGCTGGTTAAATTATGTCAAACGTCGCCAAAGGGAGAGGGGAGGCACACCAGCTCCAGAAGCTATGTGCCTGGATCTGAAAGCCCCATCATGCCAGTAGTGCAGACGCCTGTGTACAACACCAGAGTCCTTGGCTTTCCTTTCAAGAACAGCCACAGACACAAGGCCAGTCGCGCCAGGTGGTTGTTTTTATAATATGATAGAGAAACTCCGACACAAGGCCGCGTGCCAGAGCCCTCTACCTGCTAGCACTCATATTTAACTCCGGCCGGTTCCCCGCCAGGACTCTGAATAGCCCCGCTCAAGGGAGAAACACATGAACCTCATTAGTAGCGTCTCTCCCCCCCCCATGTCAGAGCTGTGCATGAAATCGCAATTCCGCAGCACAGCTGAAGGCCTCAGAGAGGAGAGAGGTGTGGGGCTGGGGCTGACTCAGTTGGCTGTAATGTGAGCTGCCCACAAGACGCAATGAATGGGATATTCAAAGCCATCCTAAACTCCTGACATCAGAGCAGAACAATAACTTCTTATTGCTTCGACTCCCGACTGTGTTCATTCATAGACGGCTCGCAGAAATGATGCAATGCCAGCGTAGAACTGGCAAACACTGACAGGCAGTCTAAAACGCTGCAGCAAACAAGACATGTTGATCATTTTAACACATCCCGCAACTGCTCTTGGTCCTAATCCAGTCATTGTGCTGTATGCATTTATGAATGTTTCTAATTGTGTAATTACACATTTTTTTGAGGGTGTCAGGACAATTCAAGTCTAAACAACAGCTACGTAACACATCAGACCGTGGTTTTAAAAATTAGAAATAGGCTCACGTTGGGATGAAGCGAGAGGGGAGCAGTCTGTGGCTCAGA